GCGCGCGGAGGGGCCCCCTCAGCCATTCCGCCAAGGCCCGTTTGGGCAGTGGCTCCTGGCTGCGGGGGCTTTGCGCAGACGCCCGCTGGCGGGGCGCGCCACTGGGGGGGGGGGGCCAGCGCCAATCCAAGAAATCCGCGCGGACCTCAGACAATTCATGTTTATGTTTTTTTTTCGTTCCTCGAACGAGAGGATGCGCACTCTCGCCACTCAGCTCCTCTGGCGCAGGCGCGTCGCGCCTCAAAGCGGGCTCCGCAGCCGCCGCGGCGCCCTCTGTGGCCAAGCCTACCGAGGGCGCCTCGCCAACTGCAGCAGCAGGCCGCTGCGGGGAGCCGCACCTCGGCGTGCTGGTGCCCCTGACAGGGGTTCTGGACCTGGACCTGCGCGGCCTGCGGATCGCATCGCCAAGTGCATCCATGAAGTCGCGGCGCCTCGACTGACCGCGCTCATCAGGAACCCCTCCACCGCGGTCATCACCCAGCGAACGACGGCGCTCATCAGGAAACTGCCCACCGAGGTCGGCATCCAGCGCCGCCGGCAGGGGCGCGAAGCTGGCCTCCGCCAACAGAGCGCCGGTAGCTGCAGACTGAGTCCCCGTCCTCTGAGGGCAGAGAAATTGAAAATGCCACGCTGAAGCATTTCATTTCACATATATATAATTACATGTGGAAAGGTAGATACAAATTTAGGCAACTACTATAGTTGCATAAATATGTATACGTATATATGTACAGTTCAACTATACGTATAGTATATGTATACAGAACTACGTATAGTTCAACTATACGTATATCACTATACGTATAGTTGAACTATACGTATCGTTAAACTGTACGTATATAGATATGCGTGCACGCGCGCGCGTGGCGCCTGTCTTGGGCAATTAAAGCGGCAATAATTATGTCGAAGCCCATGGCGCTGAGGATTAGAGCCAGAGGGTGGGAAATTAAAACCAGAGGAAAGACGTGCATAACATGTCCTAATCTTCAACTTCTTGTTCATGAGATGGTGAGCTTGAGCGCGATCGATGTCGTCGCGCTTCTCGCTGTGCCGGTGCTCGCGGGCATCTCCCCGGGCGGCCTTGTACTCCTTGAACTTCCTGACAGCGCAGCACTGGTGCCCATCCACGATCTCCTGGCAAAGCGGGAAGGAAGGCCGGTGGAGGGCGGGGCGGGGGAGGTGGGGCTGGAAGGAGACAGGAAGATGGGAGGGGAAACGTCGAGGAGGACAAGGGGGAGCTGGATAGCGGAGGAAGTGGATAGGAGCGATGCAAACGAGAGGGGGGACGAGGGCGTCGTCATGCCCTGTCTTCGCGCAGCCCTTCTCCCTCCTCCTCGCCATTATTATCCCCCTCCTCATCCCCCCTCTCCTCCTCCCTGCGGGCTTCAGGGCCCTCAATCGGAATCGACCTCAATGAGGTCATTGGAAGAGTTCTCAGTGACACTGCCATGGCCCTAGGGCCAGGCGCGGGAGGCGACGCGATAAAAGGGGGCGGCCGCGAAACTCATTCTACTCCACATGGGGCTGTCAAAGCCAAACATTTTGGGACACCTGCGCCACAGGCCTAGAGAGGGCCATGGGGCGTTGAGGCGCCATAGTACATGGACTGAGAATCGACAGAAAACCTGATGGATTTAATGCACCTTCAGGGGTCCTTGGGAATACCAAGGGCCTTGTGAATTCTTAGATGGGGCCTGGCACGGGTCTCGAGTGTCTCGGGGGTCTCGTTCAGCCCAGGCTGGATTATTTAGGAAAACATACTGCACGATACGCCCGCAACTGCTCTGCGTAGAAATGGCGAGACAATAGAAACGAATCAGGCGCCCCTGCTGCCCCTGCCTGCCAGATCCTTCTTCACGTCCAAGTCGTTCTTAGCGGTCTCCCACGCATCATTTGCCTCGTCAGAGTCGTAGCCCCACTCCCGCTTGTGCCACTGCTTGAACGGGCGCTCTGGGAGCATGATCACCCCCGTCTCCTCCCAACTCTTGACGAAAGCGACCACATCGTCAATCAAGGCCATAGCCCGCGTTTTCTGGGTGAGCATTGTTTGTGGCACTGCCCCCTCCTCATCCCTTCCCGTCGCCGCCGCCATCGTCGTCACGTGGCTTCCTTGGACCCAGCGTCGTTGTCGTGCCCGTCGCCGGGCGCTGCAGATTCAAAACGAGGGCCCCCATCCTTCCTCTTGCCCTCGCCCCTCGCCTTCTGCTAGATATCCCTACCCATCGGTCGGAAGAAGTAGGTAGAAACATGAAGTAGGAAGGCGTGGGAAATATTGGGTTTCCGCACGCCTCGAGGGAAAACCACTCGACTCTTGAAGTAGGATGGCGCTGAAAGTAGATTGTAATCTGGGAATCCAAAAATACCTACTTTCAACGACTGGTGGGTACATGTAGATACCCCCATGTGTGTTGTGCGTGTGCGTGTGTGTGTTGCGCGTCTGGTGTGCTGCGCGTGCGTGCGTGGCGCCTGGCGCGTCGCGCGTGCATGCGCGTGTGCGGGGACAGGGGATAGCGGTAAACATGGAGACCCGTGCGGGCCAGTGCCAGATTGCTCCCCGATCAGTAAGACAGATGTGTAACAAGACCGCAGCTCTCAACCAATTGCAGGAGGGCGAGGGGAAGGGGGATGGGGGAGGACGGGGAGAAGGGGAGGTGGATGAGGCAGGGGGGATGCAGGGGTGAATGGGGAAAGGTGGAAGTTGTAATTACTGATCACCTCAGCATTGCCACGCTTGCTGAGCTCGTCGATCGTATTCTGCAGCACGACCTCTGTCCACTTGGGCTTGGCGTTCTCCATCATCTACTTGTAGGCGTCCAGGTGGACAGTGAGCGCCTTGCCAGCGAGCTTGCTCTCGCGCTCGTCCTGGCCCTTTGCAATAGTCTGCAAGTGCCGGTGGCTGCTCCAGCACGAATTGTGCCAAAACGTTGCCAAGTTTCTGCCGAAGCACTGGCGATGGCAACCCACAGTGGTGCAACCGCAGCAGTGGCATGGATCTACCACTTCACCCTCACCCTCTGGATGATCTTCTCCTCCATTCTTCTGCTCCTCCTCCTCTGCTTGAGCTGCCCGTTTCTCCATAATCTGGTTGCGGCGGCCACTGGCACCGCCGCGGCGGTTGCGTTGGGCTCCCCCAGCGCCGCCGCCCTGCTTGCCGGCGCGACCGCCGCGGGCGCCGCGGCCCCTCGGCCTCTGGCCCGCAGGCGCTGGCGGCGGCGGCGCTGCCCCCTCGCATTGCACTTCCTCGTCGGACATTCTGCGCTGTGCTTGGGCCGCTGGCGCGGCCAGCAGCTCTCAGGGACGGGGCGGCAGCAACGAAAACTATGACTCTCGGTCTGGGCCAAAAGGGACCCTATCGAATTCCTGCCATGAGGAATCTGAACTTCGCCAGCCCAACAGGCCAACAGCGCGTTTGATCCTGCGAGCGCGAAGGCAGTTTGAAGGGCCTGCTGGGGCGAAACTGGGCCCCAAGTGCGGGCGAACGCCCCCAAGAGCGGGCGAGCGCCACCCCCTCAAAGCGCGGGGGGGTCAGCCATGAAGCAGTATCACAGCGACGCTGTCCCTCCTCCAACATCAGACTCATCCTGGCCCTATCCCAGGGAAGACCAGCCTATCCTCATGGTTACAGCGATTATTTCCCATGTTGGGCCCTCGTTTTGAATCAGCAGCGATCTCGTTTTAAATAAGCAGAGCCCTGCGAAGTCTCACGCGACAGCTTGGGCAAACAACCACAACGCGACACCTCCCCAATGACCTCGTGCACGCAAACAAATTTCAACAATGATACAACATGGGCTGGCGGAATGCGCGAAGCTTTGAATAAGGAGCGAATGGGCTTGTCTGGCCATTGCGAGCCTCGATGATAAGCAGGGCCCCTCTTCCACATCGACCAAAAGAACTGACATGAGCAGGGCCCTCCGACCTCCCGAGGCGTCTCGTATTTCAACGCGTTCACTGTTGCCAGTGGCCAAGGCAAACACATGGAACTTCAGAGACATCCAAGCGATCTGTAAGTGCTGGAGCAGGAGTGGAGGGGGGCGGCAATTGACGCGGCGCAGGGGCAAGTGGCTGGAGGGGGAGAGCCTCGGGTAAGGCCACCGCGCGGCATTGGCTGACCAACCGAGCAATATTGAAGCTGCCTGCTGGTGAGGGGGACGAAACCCGCCTTATATGGCACGCGCCCCCGCCCCTCTGCCTAGCTGCCAGGCGCCTGGGGTCCCTGAGGTCCCTGGCGCGTCCCCCCCCCTCCCTCTCTCCTCCTGCTCCCAGACTCCCACTCATCTCCTATCCCTCTTACGTTATGCAAGCTCTGAACAGGTGGCGGTGGGGTAAAGGGGAGAGGAGAGGGGGAGGGGGATGAAGGAGGGGGTAGAGTGCGATGGTGATGGGAACGACAAGTGAGGAAGGGGCCAGGTGCAGTGTGCAGCGCAGTGCAGGGTCGCATCGGGTGCTGAGGGCTGGCCAGGCTGGCTGGCCACGCTGACACTGACTCCTTGCTCCAACTACGCATGCCGCACAGTCGTGGCAGCCGCAGCCTGGGCGATCCCCACTCAGCACGCTGGCGCTGGTGGCCTAACTGCTGCGATACAGCTGTAGTGAATGCTGTGAATGCCTTGGGCGCCCGAGTTATTCGGGGTAACTCGGGCCCGGGGTAACTCGGGTTTGGATTCCCGAAGAAGGAACCCGAGTTATCCCTGACCCGAGTTACCCCTGATGATTCGGGGCTCTGGACGCCCGAGTTATCCGGGGTAACTCGGGCCCGGGGTAACTCGGGTTTGGATTCCCGAAAAAGGAGCCCGAGTTATCCCTGACCCGAGTTACCCCTGATGATTCGGGGCTCTGAATGCCTGGCGGCCGCGGCGGTCCCTGGGCCCCCACCCCTAGAACCGAACCTAGAAAAAAACGCGGCGCTACAGTGCCCACAGTCCACAGCCCCCATGCTCACGGCAGCAAGCCACTGCTACACCCACTAGAAGCCCATCCAGGCTGCCTGCCATCACTGTTCACTCGTCATCGCACTCTGACTCTGGATCAAGATCGATGGTCCAGGAACCAGGGGAGTCCAAGGGGGGCCCATTGGCGTCCTCAAGCGTATAGATCCTCATGAGCTGCATGCGCGCCAAAACTGCGACGGTTGTGCCGAACCTCCCGGGGTACGCGCTGCTGGTCCTCAGTTGCGAGTGGCGGCCATTGACCTGAACGAACCCCTCTTCAGTGACGACGCACTGCACAAGGCTGGGGAGTAAGCCAGCGGATGGCTTGGTGCGCCTGAGCTTCCCCCCCCAGCCCGTGGTGAAGAACAGCTTGATCGGCTTGGGCGTGCTGCTGCCATAGGCCCCCAGCCACGCGGTCACCTGCCGCGGCCGCGCAGCGTTTGCTCACGGCTGCATGCAACAGCAAAGGAGACATGGGAAGACGACCAGCGCAAACCGCAGACCTCTGGGCAAAGAGTGCCAGACAACTGAGAGACTCATGCGCCACGCGCTGCATCGCAGCAGGTACGCGCATTCTGGGAGGGGGCGCGCAATGCGAAACCTTGGAGGCAGAATGCTGACGAACCCTTGATCGCCTCTGGGTGTCTACTACTACTACTACTACTACTACTACTACTACTACTACTACTACTACTACTACTACTACTACTACTACTGCTACTACTGCTACTACTACTACTACTTCTACTACTACTACTACTACTACTACATGGGGGCGACCAACGCGTGCAATCGAGGGGGCCTGCATCGAGAAACCAAAAGCTGAAACTGTGCCCACCTGGCCCGCTTTGCAGTGGGAGACCAGCCTCTGGAAGAAGCAGGTGTAGTTGAAGAGGGAGCTCAAGGGCTGCTCAATGACCCAGAAAATATCGATCAACTGGCACAGCAGGCCTTAGTAGACTTGGCTCGCGCAGCCCCCATTCCTCTACCCTGCCCTAGCCCCTGCGCCAGCCTAGCAATCGAATGGCTCATCTTAGAGAGCAGCGGCCTCAGGGGGGCCAAGAGGCAAGTATACTGTTTAAAAACTGGTTTAAAATTATGTTGGGGGAACAGATAAAACAATGATTTTCCCCAGCGCTGTAGCGCGCCTAAGACAACAAAAGGGGGGCGGGGCAAAAGTGTTGCCCCGTTTCTGCGTTGATAAGGCGATGTTGAAAGCAGAACCAGCGGGTGCACTCCATCAGCCCCGCCTTGTGTGGAGCTTCACTGGGAGCCCAAGGAGCTAGACATGGAGCCACGGCTCCAGACCGGCCCTGACCTCTCGAAGACGATCCACTTACCCTCCAAGAAACCCGGCGCCTTGCCATGACATGTTGTGCGGTGTTGTGTTCTGCACAGCTGTGCGATGCCACGTTTTGCGTTGCAGCGCTTTGCGATACCATGCTTCACTGCGCAATGCCACGCCGTGCTATGGCATGATACGCTCTGCCGTGCTCTTCTACGCCATGCCATGCTGTGCCCTACCATGCATCGCATACCCTCTCGCGATCATTGCCCTGCTTGACGTCCAACTGTGCGAATAAAAAAGAGATCTACGCCGTGGGAAGGGATGGGAGGAAGGGATAGGACGTCAGATATGACGCGAGCGCACCCAGCTTGCCCCCCCCCCCCCTCCTCCTCCCCCCCTCCCTGCCCGTCCCCTCCCCCCCTCCCCCCCCCCCCGTGCCCCCCTCCCCCACAACCCCTCCTTTTCCTCCTCCCGATGGTGGGCCCAGACGGCAGAAAGCACAGAAGACGGCACAGAAAGCTCCAAAGTCGCCTCGAGGCGACTCAAGGCAGCCCAGAGAGCTCCAGCAGCTCCTGACGAGCGAGGATCGAGGAGCTCCTCCTCCTCCTCCCTCCTCCTCCTCCTTCGTCCTCCTCCCTCCTCCTCCTCCTCCTCCTCCTCCTCCTCCTCCTCCTCCCAGGAGGACCGCAGAGCGGCCCGCGCGAGCCGACATTCTCGAGCCCCCTTCGCCCACTGACGGCCCCCGAGGCCGCGAGCGGGCCCCCGAGGATTTCCCCAGGAGGGCCAGGAATCGGCGGTGGACAAACCTCCCTTTAGTAAACATCCTCTTAGTGAAAAGCGCCTGGGACCGAAACCGACGGACCTGGACCCGCAAAAACGACGGCCGCGACGCCCTCTCGCGAACCGAAAACGGCCAATTCCTTAATCGACGTGTCAGGGTAGGAGGTCTATCCACCTCCTAAGGAAGGGCCCCGAAGACGTCCAGGAGCAGGCCCCAAGAGGCTCTGGCCAGGCCCCCTGGAGGCTGCAGAGACACCTCCAACGGGGCACCCGCAGGGCCTCCCAACAGATCCCAGCTGGCACGCCCAGGGGGCCTGTGACCTGCAACCTCGGCGCAGCGGCAGAACACGCCGAACGCCAAATAGACGCACATACATCAACACCGACATACGTCTACGTCTAAGAGTATAGGTATGTGTGTCTGTATGTGTGAATGTATGGATGGATGCATGGACGAATGAATGTATGGATGTATGTCTGTATGTATGCCTGTCTGCCTGTATGCTTGCTTGTTTGTGTGTATACATATAAACACACATATACACATGACTACGTATACTATCCGCCAATCGCCGAGAAGGAGGTTGGGGTGGAGGGGTGGAACAAGCGACGGGACAACCATTGGGGCAAGCGTCCCCATCCATCGAACAAAACCTTAATCGGTCTCACATTCGACTGGCCGCACTATCTGCACACTGGCCCGACTGTCAATAGAGTGTCGATATATCGGAAGATCGAGCGATACATAGATGTCGCGATCGCCCTCCCCATCTATCGATTTCCCCATCGATCGATATCATTATACACCTAGGTGTCCCGATATACAGGCCCAACTTTATGTATACCTACCCATGTTCTGTTCCACCGATCGCACTGCCAAACCCACTATCGATGTATTTACAGGTTTCACGATCTAACGATACTACTACCTACACCATCTATCCACCAAGCGTCCTCACCATCTGTTTACTGACCTCGCTATTAAGACGACCTGTCGATGACCTGTCGATGGTCAATCATCGGAGCAACCATCGGGACAAGCATCGGGAAAACCATCAGGAGAACCATCGGGACAACCCTCGGGACAACCATCGGAACAGTTCGGAACAACCCTCGGACAACAATCGGGACAATCATCGGGAAAACCACCGAGACGAACACCGGGAGCACCATCGGGGCAACCAGCGGGGCAACCATCAAGACGACCATCGGGAAAACCGTCGGGGCAAGATGTGGGGGGGCGAAGATGTGGTGGAGAAGGAATGGAAAGGGGTCACGAAGATACGTTCATGCGGGCTGGTGGTTGCTGTCCGCTAAGCTGGCGGCATGCCAAGACAATGCGGACCGCCTGAAGGTTGGCGCTGGTGACTTTCTCCATCTGGTGGTACCCTTGCCACTTGTCAGCAGAGCGTCCATACGTATGCCGGCTCATCCAAACCTGGCGCGCACCGACATTGCCCCTGCGCGCTTAACACGTATGTGCGTGCTGGTTCCATCCCTGACTTCCCACCTACCCCGTTGCCTTGCCTTCCCGCCATTGCCTCCCCGCTCGCTGTCGCTGGCATATTCTGACGTTTCAGCATCTACTGTTCCAGCGCTGCGCCCAGGTGCTGCAGTCCGGAGCGAACCAAATAAACCCCTTCGGCGACGTGAAGAGCAAGTCAACCAGCATCATGCGGAAGCCCTGCCAAACATAAATCCGAACAAACCATAAATCGGCGGCGGCTGCGACGACAGAGACGACGTTTCCGTTGACGCGACGACGAAGACAAAGACGTCGACACGGCTATGGCGACAGCGATGCGACAACGATGCCGTCGACGAAAGGACGAAAAAGGGTACTCAAGGACATTGAAATTACCACTGGCGACAAGTCAGCTCAAACAACAAGACCCTGCAACCGTTCAAGCGGGCGCGCTTTCAGACTGACTTGAGACGCCTGCGCCCAACCCTGATCCCTGGCACTTCACTTCAAAGCACTGCTGCCACTGCCCCGCAAACGGCCCGCAAATGAGGACTTAAGAGCACGCTGCCTGGGGGCTGAGCATGTCGTGTGTCTCGCTGTACTCCGCGTCGATGCACCTGGCCTTCAAGCCCATGCGCAAGCATTCTTTGGTGATCCACCCTGTGGGATGTTTATTCACGTTCAATGTCCAATGCACAAAAATACCCCAGTTGGGGCAGGACACTTGTTCCCGCTTGCGATATGTGGGGCCGCGGTTGGGGACAACGACGCGACGCGATATGGTCCAATGCGACGCAATACCATATGGGCCAACGATGGGGGCCAACAGCAAGGGCCATCGATTGGGGTCCGAGAGGGCCAATGATGGGCCACTGGTATTCAGTATTGGGGGTCAACCAGTGGGGGCCAGCGATGGGCCACCGATCTCGGGGGCCAAATATTGGGGCCAACAATGCGGGCCCTCATCGGGCGCTGGAAGCAAAACACATTCGCGCACAAGCATACCTGCCCCACTGCCTTTCCACCAAAGCGGGCTTCCCCCCTCTGCATCTAACTCCACCTTCCCCCCCCCCCACCCTCTCCCCATTCTTCCCTCCCCCACCGCCTGCCCCATCACCTCATCCACCTCCTCCTCATCCTTGTTTGCCCTTGTCCTCTACCCTGCTTCGCTCCCGTGCTCAGAGCTCACTCACCCCTGCCCCCTCGCCCAAGATAGTTTCCAGCTGGCTGGCCTTTGCCAGCGCAGACCTCATTGCAGTGCACGAAAGCCTCAGCAGGCCCGTTCGTCACGACATCCTTCCTGATAGCAAGCAACTGCACTATCATGTCTGGTAAATTGTTGCAAAGACCTCCAAACTCTGGGAAAGCTGACAGGATCGAGCGCGCGGCAACAGTAGTGCATGGATTCCCTGGGATGAAGACGCGGTTGATCTCGTCTTTGGCGTCGGCGACCTGGGCGCGCCCCGGCACAAGCACTGATAAACGCAATTTAAAACAAATCGAGACCTAGGTCCTCGAACGACCAGATGCTTTCCAATCGCAAGGTCGTTTCTTGAACGATCCTGGGCCATGGCAAACGTTCAAAACCTTGAACGCCCATACTGGGGTCGCCACTGGCACCTGGCACCACGTCGACGACCCACGAACCTACCGTGCGATTACAAACCACCCAGCGAAGGCTGCCCCAACGAAAAGTTAGGGAACGCAATAAGACATGATAAGACCCTTCCCCAGGGCAGTCAAGCAGAGTCGGGGCGCGTTCATAATAGGGGGGGCGAGCAGCAGCGCTGGCATCAGGGGCTGAAGGATTTGGAGCTATGATGGAGAAGGCCGGGCAGCAGCAGGACGAAAAGCGGAGGGGCACTGAGGGAAGGGAACAGCATATTATGATGTCTGATGGCTGAAACCCCCAGCCCGACATGACATGCACAGTCCCGCCTGCGCCCAGCACGCTGCTGAGCGCCCTAATCATCGATTACGATCACCAGGTCAGAACCACAAGTCGTCGGGCTCATCCAAGCAGAAGACCTGGAAGAGGAGCCGCAAGCCATTGGGCTCATCCGATCAGAGGCTGGGGAAGAGGAACCACAAGTCGTCGGGCTCATCCGATCAGAGGCTCTGGAACTGGAGCTGCAAGTCCTTGGGCTCATCTGATCAAAGGCTGAGGAAACGGAACCACAAGACGTCGGGCTCGCATGATCAGGGGCTGCACGAGAGGAACCACAAGCCATCGGTCTGGAGGCCCATCTGAGCTTCATCGTCCAGATCCCTGGCTTGACCAACCTGGGCTTAGGCTTTGCCTTCCTCCTCCTCGTTGGCTGATTGAAAACCGTTGGCGACCATATGCTCTCCTCAGCTGCTTGGCGACCATGCTTGGCGACCATGTGTTGGAGCTGCTTGGCGA